GGTTATGGATTAAAATTCAGCATTAGTAGGGTTATGGCAGGACTTAAATATAGGATGTTTTTTCTTCGTGATATTAACTCTATTGTCCACATAGAGACTAGTGTGGCACGGAATCGAAGGCTATGAAAAATTCAACAAAGTACACGAAAGATCAAGTGTTGTTAATACAAGTAAACATGCGAGTCCCAGGAATTAATCGATAAGAAGACGACTCTATCGCTGGGAAAATACTTTTATTCGTTTGACGTCGCCGCATGGGGAACGGACAGGCCACCACCTCATTCTATACCAGTACTGGAGGGCCAGATGACCGGGCAATCCGAGTCTGCCATGCGTGATTAAAGGTCAGCAGGTAAGAGCCCGCATGCCGTTCAACAGACCACCAACACTCGAGAAGGCACTTACGGTTAATTGTTGTTTGCAGTAATTACCGTATCCTATAAATACTGCAAACTCCTGTGCATATGCTACCCTATCTGCAATTGCTTTCTGACTATGTCTCTGATGACGAATCCGCGACGGATATCGAAAGGTAAGGCGAATAAAAGTATTGTCCCAGCGATCGAGTCGTCTTCTCAGGTCAAGTGTTATTAGCCATGACTCCGTTCAAGAATTTATCGCACTATGCATATTTGGTCGGCGCCTTCACGTCCAACTAGAAAAGGGTCTGATTGCGACCGCTCCACTGCAGTGAGGGACAACCCCGAGCAATTAAATTTGACTGCCTATATTAAAACCCTTAATTAACTTAAGTAGCGATGTCCGAACAATATATTAAAACTCATTCTACAGTGCAGGCGGAGGGCAATGCGTTCCAAAACTCCAGAACAGTGATGAGGCCAGATAGCACGCGACCCGACTTACGTGCAGTACCTGATGGTGAAATTTACAATGATTTCCTGACCAGAGTACTGCAAATCCGACAACTTCGTAAGGACTAATTTGAGACTGACATTGAGGGAGTGTGAAAAACTTAGGGACCAGGTAAATAAGTAAGTTCTGCTTCAGATTAAGGACAAAATATCAAGCATCTTTTGTAAGGGCGTGGTGTATTCGTTCAATTTTTTAGTTATAAGAAGAAGTACTTTTACACAAAAGGAATATACGTAGAGAACACTTTGCAAAACCTGTAAAATATGATGACATATGTCCAAACACCAAGGGAGTATTAGGAAATGCGAACTAAGTAAGAAATGGGTTTAGTCTATTCCGACTGATGCCGATGGTTAGAAGTTCTAAACTGCAGATCTGCACGCTGTCATACCAGTCACTGTTCGAACTTTACATTGTAATTTTTTTCCATTTCCTGGAATGTTTACTGGATCTTGGCGCCTATAAATATATTTTTACCGTCAAAAAGTTCAGAACGTCAGGAGGAAGACGATGTCACCGCTCTCACGAGAATTATAAAAATTTCGAGCACAGATGCAAAAATATAAAATTCAACAACTAAATCCGAAAGTTAAACAAGCAGATGAAAAGAACATTTAAAACCGACCGCCAAACTTACCGGCAATAGAGGAGGTAAAAACGGTCCAGCGTTTTGCGGCCTAATATCCCTTGAAGAGGCACTTGCAGGAGTCGAGCCTAGCAGGAAGTTAAGGTCTATTTCTCTTGACAGTTCCTCGCGAATTTCAGTAATTAGCTCCTTCTTTGCCTTTGCTGTCTCGTAATCTTCGGCTTTTGCCGCCTCTTGTTTTTCAAGCTCCAACTGAAAGATCTGCTCACCAGCCTTGGGGAAGTTAAAAAGAAATTTTAAAAAATGAAACGAACAGGATAAAAACGAGGAAAGTCACGCCGCACCTATCGTTCTGGGAAAAAAGTGCCAGTAAGAGCCAATAACACGAAGATATAATGAGAGCAGCAGTGACTGAAGAGTAAAACTTCCCAAGCCTCAAGTGAAAATCACTAATTAAGATAAATATTAAGCAGATTGAAAGGCAGTCAGAAATGTACTGGGACTCAAACCAAGTTACAAGGTCTGACCCCATAAATAGTGAAACAA